TGACTTCTTTTTGTTTGTGTTTGGTAAATAATGATAAAAAGAAAAACCAGATGGGTGAGTTGGATGTGCAATGATGGTTAAGCTTTTAGCCTTTTTCACTCTTTCTTTTGTTCCCCTTTTATTTCAAATTTTGAAAACCTTTTTCCTTTCGTGTCCTCCTTTGATGCTTCAATTATAATAAATTGAGATCAAAGAATAATATTCAATGAGAAAAAAAGGGCATATACTTTTGGACTGAACCCTATATTCTGTTGTCTCCCCCCAATAGAATGATTTGGGACGATTGAGTTGAGTGGCTTTTAAATGTGTGCTGCAATTATTGGTAACTTTGGGCAATCAGTTACTTGTTTTGTATGATGTATCGAAATTTGTTTTATTTTATGATACAGGAAATTTCACTTATTTATTTTTTGGTGCAAGAAGTTTAATTTATTTGAATGTTAATTGGTGTATGTGGTTTTTTTTTTTTTTTTTTTTTGATATATTGACTATAATTATCTCTTTGATGCGAGTCTGCCTTCGAATATCTCTATAAGCTTCAATTCTTTGAGTCGTCTATGAAAATAATTCCGGATCAGGACTCAGTCATAGTTAAAAATTTTCGCCCCTCTCAAAAGATGTATTTGGTTATATCTTCCTTTGTTATCTTGAACTTTAAAATGAAGAATTTAATTTTTATAACAGTCTAGCTAATCGATCTCTTCAATTAATCGATCAAAAGTTAAATCCCCAAGCTTATATGTTCATGATACTACATGTCAAATTTTAAAAGCTAATCGAGTGTGACTATATCGGAACAAAATAAAATTATTTTTAAATGTTATAATTTTATCACAGATAAGTTTTTTTAAAAAAAATATATATCTCATCAGTTTAACAAATGACAAACCATAAAAAAATCACATTTCAACCCAATTTGTGCGTATTTTCCAATTATATAATCTTCATTTAATCTAATTCTAATCAATGTGAGATTTTTCACTCTCCCTTAAATTTCATTTTCAACAAAATATAATTTCTTGAAAGCATATGTCACAATTCTATGACAAGCCATTATAACTAATTTTCTTATTTCAATTTAACTACTCTTTATCAATTTTAAAATCATATAGACAATAATGTAATTTAATGTGAATTATATCAGACTTCATATACTTTCCAATTGAGAAAAATATTGCAAAAGGATCTCAGTTTTGAATACAAATTGATTTAAGGGTCTTAATTTTTTAATGTTTTAATATTAAGGACCTTATTATGATTAATTTAATTTCCAGCATCAAGTTGATACTGGAAAAGGCCAACTAAACTAATGAATAATTATGTATTTTAAACATTAATAAAAAATTTCAATTGAAATAAAATTTAGTGATCCTAGCATCCCTCAAAGCAAAATAAGAATAACAAGACAAAAGGCTAAATCAAAAAAGTAACAAGATATCAAAACAATGATACGCTCTCTAATCCCCTTGTATATCAGACAGGTAACCATTATTAACCTATAACAAAACTAACCCAACGGAGATCTCTCGTTAATAAAAAATTCAAAACTCTTTTATCCATTAAATTGAAGTAATTGAAGAAAAAAAAAGGGGTTAAATGTTGATCTTTAATATTGATGTTAATTTCATTTTGTCACATAAATTTTATTTTTTACTGAAAATAAAAAAAACGATGTTGTGATTTGAACAAATGATAAAAGTTAGGGGGTGTTTCGTAAGTGGTCAAATTTTATTTTCCTATAAAAGTGACCTTGGCATTCTTATTTTTTCATGTTTGATATAAGGATTATAAATTTATTTTTCAAAAAAATTAGATTCCCAGGATTCCAATTTGTAAAGCAGATTCCCATAAAAAATATCACAAAGTAGGTGGTATTTTGGGATTCCCACTCAGTGAAAAAATGAAATATGATTTTTATGACTAAAATAATCCTGCCATTTCTTCTTCATAACTACCATGCCCTTCCCCTTGTTCAATATCAAAAGACTCAAAACCCCTCTTCCAAGTTGAAAAATCCCCCTACCCCCGTATTAATCGCAACACCATAATAAAAAGGAAAACTAAACTCCAAATCATACTTATCAATACAACAAGGATACAAATTCAGGTTCTATGTTAAAATTCCATTTCCCAAAACATTCAGAAAATTGGAAGACTGAAAAATCCGATACAATAAACAACTTATCTTACATGCAACAAGAAATTATTGGGTAAAATAAAAAGGTGGGTACACACACAGAGAGAGGGGAAGAGGAGCTTCACATGAAGTTATGGTAAAAAGAAGCAAGATCCCTTTTTTAGGTTAAACGCAAAATTCTTCAAATCAGGAAGACAACGAGATTGAGATAGCTGAGCTTCTGTATGGTTTAAGGACTTCTAAGAACCACGAGTCTTTCTCGCAAAAGCTTGAAGCTAACGATTTGCATCCTTCAACTGAGCTTCTTCTGTATGGTTTGAGCCTGGTTATTTTTCTCCATTCACCTGAATCGACTAAGAGAGAATTGAGACTGAATAATTTTGTAATTATTTTTACCCATAAAGGTTAATTTTGTAAATTTGGTCTAAATTCTCCGCAATATTTTATAATTAATCAAACATAATATCAGAAAATTAATCCAATATTTTCAGGAATATTTTAGCCTATCAAATAGTTTTTTGATAATATTTTTGAAAAATTTACTTCCCCGTCATATTTCTATGAATTATAATTCTCGAATAAAAAAAAAATTTGTTCTAACCTTTACTGTCTTTAACGTATACTTCGCTCATTTTCAATGTCATATATGTAGATTTTTAGACCACCATGTGTTACTATACTCTTGCTGGCATGATATTAATTATAAGAAAAAAAAATTATCTACGTAAAGTGTGATTCTCGCTTTTGCGATAAGAACGATGGGTAACAAACAAGCACAAATAGTTGGAAAATGTGAAATGAAATGATATCGGACCCCTGATGGATGGTCAGTAAGTGTAGGACATGGGGCCTAGCGAAATTGCCTGATAAATCTCTTGACGCATTGCGTGTCCTTCATCACTTCGCATACACTCCAAAGTGCGAGTAAATAGCAGAAAAGGTACTACTTACCAAACTTTTCCCACATGAAATTTCCTCGAAATGTTTTGAGTTTGCTATTTTTAACAATAATGTTTGAATAAAATCATGATTTTGTTGGCTGGATCAATACACTCCTCTAGGGGTGTTAACGAGTCGAGCTTTGGTCTTAACGAGCTAAATCTATGTTCAAATGTGTCAGATTGGCCTTAGCCTGTTACCTGTTACGAATATAATATCAGCCTATGGCCTGACTCATTTACAAAAAATAAAAGCCTTGTTTAGCCTGTTTAAAAAAAAATAAGACAACAAAAATTTATCCAAACAAAATATACAATCAACAGCACTAGTAATTCCATAAATATTCATAAATTTAATGTATATCCAAATAGCGTAATATAAAACAAAATCATTTAAAAAGTCTGTTTAATTAATAAAATGGGATGAAATGAATTGAGAAGAGAGAGAGGGCTATCATAAGTAGTATAAAAAATTAAAAAATAATATATTAGGCAAGCCTGAGAGGCTCTAAGGCCGAGCTTTTCTATTGGAGCCTGAGACCTTTTTATTAAACGAGCTTTTATACAAGTCCAAACCTGGGTCCAACAATCAATTTTAGACATATAAGCTCAGACCTTCACGACCCGAACCAAAAATCTCTGGCTCGCACCCCTATACTCCTCTATCACCAATAACAAGAGCCTCAAATTCAAATCCTGATCATAATGAAAAAAGATATGTTGGAAGAGTCACATCTTATCCATATTAATCCGAAAATGCCCAAACTAAATCAATTAGGTTTCTGACTAGAAGAAAATCTTCTTGGAGTCCAACTCAAAATCCAGTGACGGATCAGGAATTTTAGTTTATGGAAACAAAATCTATATACCAAAGAAAATCATAGGGCAAATCAACAAAATTAATGTGATAATAATACCAACTATACGTATACAGTAGTTTTACTATAAATGCTTAAAAACTTGTGGGGACAATTATACAGAGGTCTGTCACTGTCAAAATCATTACATTGGAAGTTTGCCCCCATAAATTAAGAATCATACGCTCCCTGAAAGTTACGCCATTAGGCCATTAGGATGCAATCATACAAATCGGGAAAAAAAAAATCCTGAAAAAATTTTATAGTTAGAAAACAAAACAGTATTGAAAGTTATCCCAACAATGTTTCATGAAAAAGAATGCGCAACTTAAATTTAAATTAATAAAAAGGAAATGCAAAATTGTCCCACGTGAATTTTAGTTTGCATTATAGAAAACCGGAACCAAACATTTTACCAACTATCTGGTATTTGGTCTGAACTCTGAAGCAGAAGGTTGACCCAAATTCAAAGGCCAAAATTGAAAGGAATTGCGTGACAGATGCTGCTCAAATAATGCCAACGACAAATACTGATGCCCCATAATTTTTTAAGGCCCCCGTACGTGCATTTATCTACGTTACATCATTTTTATTTTTATTTTGATAAGAGATAATCTTGACAAAGACGGGTCTAGAATTAAGATTTTAAATTTTATTCAAATATGATATTAGATATAAATAAATACATGCTCTCACCCTTGCTCTAACTCCCAACATTAATCTTGCTGCCTTATCAGGTTATCATAAAGTCATTGGTAGATTTTATATTTTTGTATTTTTATCAAGTAGAAATATCAGATATTTTTTTCTTTTCTTCTTTTCAGAAGTCAGGATTCCTAATTAATTTCCGACGAAGATCTCAAATGCAAATAGGCCAAAAATGTGAGAGCAATTCAATCTATTTATTTCACATAAGATTTCATATACGCATTTGTTTTAGATGAACTAACTCATATACACGAATTTTACAATGGAAAAGAAGTTTCCAAGTTTATTAGCGAGAATTGTCATAAAAGACTACAAATTCCAGGTTAAAAGAGACTTGTCATAACTGACCCCATTAAATCATTGGAAATAAAAATTGAATTTCTATTATTGCAAAGTGACAATGTCCCATATCAAGCTTGTAACATATAACATTCTAGCAAAAAAATCACCAGAACACAAGGCATCTGCTTCTTACAATTCACCTAAGTTATTTCAACGTAAATCATCCTAGACTGCATAGACAGGTGAAAATCAATCCACAATTCAGTCAACACACAATCTATCAATTCAACCATATGAAAAACACCAGTACAAATGCAATGAAATTCATTCGATTTAGTACTACAAAATATAAAAGTTGCAAATATATTACATAACCCAGTAGTGTTAAAGAGAAATTGGTTCACAAGGGATAGGCGCCTTTCAAATTTCCCCTCTGTAACCTCCAGATCCAAAATAATCCTTTCTATTATTTGCGATTGCCATGCTCTTCTGATGTTCTAATTTGGGACAATCACGGATTCGGTGACCAAGCCCACCACAATATGCACATCCTTTGACTCCACTTATGTCTGTGATTTCCTCATTATCTTCCATTGGATCATTAAGCTCGGCCAAAACTGGGGGAATCCTTTGTTTTGCTTCTTGCAAGAGGTGTTTCAAATCAAGTAATGTTGTCTCACTTTGATTCTTGTTTATAAATGTTGTTGCTATACCAGTCTTGCCACATCTTCCGGTTCGTCCAATCCTATGCACATAATTTTCAATTTCAGCAGGCATGTCATAGTTAATGACATGCTGAATATCAGGAAAATCCAAACCTTTGGATGCAACATCAGTTGCAACCAACACATCTTTCTTTCCAGCCTTAAAAGATGCAATGGCATACTCTCTCTCTTCCTGATCCTTGCCTCCATGAATAGCCACGGCTTCCACTCCTTTCAAGAGAAGATACTCATGTATGTCATCAACGTCAGCCTTGTTCTCACAGAATATTAGAACGGGAGGTGGGGTTTTTTGTAAGCACTCAAGGAGATAAACTATTTTTGCCTCTTGCTTAACATACTCTACCTCCTGGATTACATCAAGATTTGCTGCCCCTGCTCGTCCCACATTGACAATAATAGGTTTCACCAAAGCGCTTCTAGCAAAGTTCTGAATTTTGGTTGGCATAGTGGCAGAAAATAAAAGAGTCTGCCTTTGGGCTTTGAAGTGATCAAAAACTTCTCTTATGTCATCTTCAAATCCCAAATCTACTAGTCGATCAGCCTCATCTAATGTTAAATACCTGCAGTTATTAAGATTCATTTTCTTCTTGGCCAACATATCCTTTAACCTCCCGGGAGTGGCGACAACAATATGAACACCCTTCTTCACAATCTCAAGCTGTGATCTCATATCCACTCCACCAATACAAAGCAAAGGCCTGAGCTCTGGATATCCAGCTTCCTTCATAGGTATCAAGAATTGTTCAACCACTTCATAAGTCTGCCTAGCCAGTTCCCTTGATGGACAAATAATCAAACCAAATGGACCTTCTCCAGGAACAATAGGCATCATAATTTCCTCCTGCATTGCTACCATGATCATTGGCAGGACAAAGACCAAAGTTTTTCCAGAGCCCGTGAATGCAATCCCAATCATATCCCGCCCAGATAAGATAACAGGAAGGCCTTGCACCTGAATGGGTGTTGGTTGCACAATTCCCTTAGCTTTCAAATTCTTCAAAACTGGCTCCGGAAACCTCATATCCTTAAAATTCTTAACTGGGGGTGGGATATCTTCACCGTCAACTATTATATGCCACTGCTTTCTAATCAAATCACATTCCTTCTTAGACATCCTTCTCACATGCAAAGGCGGCTTCCACCCTGTAAGCAAAGGTTCTGTATAAGTGATCCCCTTAGCTAATTCACGAACAGACATAAGGGTTTTCCTATCTGACAAGTTCTCAATCATCTCCTTCTCCTGTTGAACAATCTGTTCTGTCACACTGATCTCGGGTTGTTCTCGTTTCAACTGTGATGCTTTGACCAGAAGACTGGGCTTGGTTTCAGCAACACTTAGTTTCTCCAAATCATCGTCAGTGGCAGTAGAGGCCTTCCCTTTGCGTTGGAGAATCTTCTGAGCTTCCATGGCCCGACGCTTGGCCACAGGCACATACTCCACATAATCATCATCTTCTTCCATTTTTGCTACCAATTTGAGTTCAAAATATCAGTTCTTTTGATCCTGTTTGCATTTCAAAGAAAAATTAGAAAAAAAAAATAAGCAACATGATGAACAAAAAAAATCAATCATACCTAAAGCCGTCAAAATGGGCCAACCCGGCCCGTTAGGCCCTAATCCGTGCGGGCTAGGGCCAAAAAGCCCGCATATGAAACAGCCCACATGGGCCAAAAAAATATATAACCCTGCGGGCTAGGGCCAGCTTAAATCCAGATAAGAGACCAAATTAAGAACCAAGAAGGCTTAAAGGACAGCCACATATTTTCATAATAAGGATTTCATGAGAAGAAAATGAACAGGAAATAAAATCACTTTGAATTAAACCAATAAGCTGTCATTAGAAGTAATAGAATCCTAGTCAATAGGCTAAATAAAAACTTAAGGCTAAAAAAAAACTTCGGTAGTACACAGATAAGTGTAAGCAACAAGCAATACATGCACAAGTTTACGCAACTTAGCACATCACATGTAATTCAAGTGCATATGCATAAGTTGTAAGTAATAACAAATTAGATTAAAACTAAAAGTGGTAATAAATTCAAGTGCATATGCATAAACTGTAAGTGGTAACAAACAGTAACGTAGACCAGATGCAGTTAATCAAGGACAAGCACAAAGGAGAAATGCAGAAGTTAAAAAGTAGGCACTAATAGTTGAGAGATTAAACTTAGATGAGTGATTGAAGTCAAATTGATAAATGAATAAAGATTAAAAATTATAGCAGAGGAATATCATGGATGAACAAATACTAAGGCAAGGCAGTGAACTTAGCAATCTGCAAATCCGATAAAAGATTACCAGCAAGTTAAGTTGAAGATAAAAAATTAAATGTGAAGGAAAACAGAGAAATGGTTTATATAAAGTATAAGCACACGTTAGTAACATCAAACACGTAAATGGTAAAACTAATTAATGCAAGAAATCAAAAGTTGAAGTAATTAACAATTAAAGCAAGCAAGGAATCTGAATTTTATATCAAATTAAACAGTTATTGGGAGTTCATTTCTCCACTACTAATTTTGCTTTTAGATTGCTTGAGAGGTGTTGCTTATATCTACAGTCTTCAATTCAACTTGAAGTCTTGAACAACTTTTATGCTTGTGACTTTCATCATCCAACATTTTTAATTATGATTTACAACAATTCGAACTAACAGCAAACCAAAATCAGTAAAATCAAGGCAGATAAAGTGATTTATATTATTAAATAGATACTGAAAAGATACTTTGCTACACTTTTTTCACTACCAAACTTACATGATCTAAACCCCTGAACTGAAATCAAAGACAAAATGCAAAAGCACATAGCCACACATTTAAAAAAGAAAAAAAGAAAAGAAAAGAAAAAGTGCTGAACAATAACTCGTTTGATCAAAAATTGAGCAGCAAACAAATATTATTGCTCCAAAACCTATCTCCTAAAAACCTTTAACACTCCGAAAAACTGAGTTTGTTTTATAATGGTTCCCCAAAGGCAAAGAATCCTAGCTCTTCACTGAATGCAAAAAGTGAAACATACCCAGATGCTTAAAATCGAAGATTACACGGTACGAATGCTTACACTTGCTCCCCTAACTACCCAGCACATCTTCTGGTCCATGAAGTGGCTTAATATTTATTGTTAACACAGAAGACGAAAAGGAAATTGAAAAACGTATAAAGAAGAAGCACCGTCCATGATAATAGGAAATGATATCCTAGAGAGAGAAAATATGCGCTGCTTCCATAGACAGAGCACTGTAATGGAGGAAATAAAGAGAGAGAGACCTTGGGTGGAGGTGCTGGAATTGCTGGGAAGCTTGGAAACAAGGTAAGCGGATGCACTCGTTGTGTGCAAGGATTTGAAGGAGCTCAATTCTCTTTGGAACAATCTTGGCGTAACAATAGGGTTCTGGCGAGGAGTGAAATTCGAACCACGCAAAGAAGAAAATCATGAAAAGAAAGAAAATTTGGGGATTTAGGGTTTGGATAAAAAGAAGTGGGCTGGCCCAAGGTTAACCCCACCCTAACCCAAAAAGAATGAGGGTCATTGGGGCTAGCGTTAAATATAACCCTACCACATGTGGGCTGGAAAAAAAAGGGTTGAAAATTGAGGGTGTAGGGTTGGCCCGCGGGCTGGAGCCCATATTGACAGCTCTAAATACCCTTCAAGATCTAGTAGAGTTTGAAATTAAAAACAAAAAGTCATCCTTGTCCTGTAGAGCTGCCAATATGGATCGGTCCACTTGGGCCAAAGACAAAAAGCCCACATCTTATGCAGGCCAACCCTAGCCCACCCTGATGGGTTAGGGCCAGCCTGTCAAATTTTTTTTTATAAAAAAAGTAGCCTACTTGAATGGCCTGGCCCTAGCCCACCCTATGGATCAGCCCACTAATTTTTTATTTTAAAAAAACTTTCAGATGACCAAGATAATTTTCTTTTTATTAAAAATATATTTAACCCCGCAAAAAACAACGAAATCAACACTCTTTAAATTACTAAAGTTAAGCTTTCATGACCAACTATAAAGCCCACATATCTATTCTAAGGTTTTGTTCATATGTACAATATTGCTGATATAGAAGCACAACATGCATTAGAAAAATCCATATACATGCCAGAGATTGACTAGAAGAATTATGTCAGGCAGTACATCGAAATTCACATAGACCACCAATAATACATAAGGCTAAAGCTAACAACTAAGTGTAAAAGTAGAATGACACAAGGGATAAAAACAACAACGGTAACTGAGAACTGGATCAGAAATACGTAGAAGAATGAACCTTTATTACAGAAACCCACTGTGATCAGTGTCAATGTGACAACCAAAGATCAAGAATGATACAATTCTCCCTCTCTCTCTAACTCCCAGGTATTTGAGAGACCTGGTTCTCTTCCAGATTCTGTCTCACAAATCTCAACTGACTCTAACTAACTACCCCTATCCCCTGTTCCAGCCATCTACTGCCACTCTGTCAGTCATAGAGCAGTACAATGAAGAAAGGGGAGGGAGATGAAGATGGATGTAGCAATCAAGATTTATCATTATCCCGTTATCCTAGATGTCTGTTATTAGATTAGTTTATCTCTATTTTAGTTGCTTAAATTATCTTATTGGGAGTTATCTTATGAGTGTTATTAGTTTTAAATTTAAATTAGGATTTTCTTATTTTATTGAAGTTGTAATTCTATAAATTGTTAGCTCATTGAACACATAAGAAGAGAAGAAGAAAATAATTAAGTCTCTCCCTAATGTCTAAATATCCTCCCTAATCTCTCTATCTCTAATATCATTTCTCTAACTTTTTAATTCTATTCCAACATTGGTGCTTTCATATAATCTCATCCTCCCATGGCAAAAAACACCGGCCTTAGGAACTTGAACCAACGCGTGGAGAACCTGGAGCAACATCTCCAAGCCGCTAGTACAGTGCGCGAACAACAATATCTCAGTCTGCAAGAATCCTTGAGACAACTGCATGAATCTCAATATCAGCAATTTGCCTTGTTCCAACAAGATTTGGCCCAACTCATGGATCCATAAATGGGATCTCCCAACCACAGCATGACAAGTGTTTTAGGCGCAGGCCGAAATCGAGTTGGGACATCATCCACATATCAGCAACACGCACAACAATTAAAACATAATTTTGCTGCGATGCGAGAAACATGCCCGAGGATCAAGAGCTTACTCCAACTATGGATCAAGGAGAATAAGGAAAATGCAGCCATTAAAATTCAAAATGCATTTCATGGATATCTATTGAAATGAGTTATTCACCAGCCAAAAAAGGCATTCCCAGACAACCTCACAGTGCTGCCTCCGAAAGCAGTGGTCCAGCTGCCGGTTACCGGATCTGTTAATAGTGACCTATCCAGAATTTGAAGATATGCATTTAGCAAACGAAGGATTTACTTATGTGATGGAAAAATTAGAAATTATATTTGATGCTGGTATTTTGGTTAGGATGTCCAATGAAGAGTTTGGAAGAACATTTAAAAATGACAATACTCTCAATAGGTTCCAAGTGAGGCAGCTCAAGCAACTCCGCTTGATACCTACCCTGCGCATGTTGCAGACACAACGATTCGTCTTTGATCCTGGCGGAGGCCCACCTCAACCTCGAGGATGAGGTTGTTTTGAAGGGAAATGGAATGTAGCAATCAAGATTTATCATTATCCCCTTATCCTAGTTGTTTGTTATTAGATTAGTTTATCTCTATCTTAGTTGTTTAAATTATCTTATTAGGAGTCATCTTATGAGTGTTATTAGTTTTAAATTTAAATTAGGATTTTCTTATCTTATTGAAGTTGTAATTATATAAATTGTTAGCTCATTGAGCACATAAGAAGAGAAGAAGAAAATAATTAAGTCTCTCGCTAATGTCTCAACATCCTCCCTCATCCTCTCTCCCTAATCTCTCTATCTCTAATATCATTTCTCTATCTTTTTAATTCTATTCCCAACAATGGAGGAAAATAAGGAACATTAAGATCAGTCAACAAATAAGGGGGGAAACCATCTTAGTGATTCTTATAACATGACTTATTCCCTAATAACATTTGCAGTTGCAGAACAATTGGATAAACAGAGAGAGAGAGAGAGAGAGATTACAAAGGCAGCCAGCCATTTGAAACAATACACCAATTCCTTTTAATCAGAGAAGTTATGGCATATGAACCACAATTACTATCCAGTGTATGACAAAGAAACAAGTAGTAACTGAAGGCTGACGAAAAAAATGATGGTACTATCTCATCTAAATTAAATAAAAGTGAGATTTCACTAAGAGCATCACCACAAAGTAAAACAAAATTATTTAATTTGATGGGACAATAACAATTTGTACTTATAAAGAGACTCGATCAATTATGAAGTAAAGTAAGAACTAGGTATTACTCGATGGAGCCAGACACATGTACCAAAAAAAATGTTTTTGAAATATTAAAAATTTAAAATATTCTTGTGGTTAACAATATCAAAATTAATACATTATTATATATTGATGAGACAAAATATTTTTTCTAGTACAACTATGACTTCATTGGGGTATTTCATCGAACAACACGAGGACATCACAAAATCCGTTCCCCATCGGAAGCCACACCCCACATCGCAAAAAACAAAAGCACAACCAAATCAAATTATCTCCGAATTCCATTAACCCAAACGTCCAATCGAGTTATCGACTTAGAAGATAAAAATTGAAAATGTAGTAAAAATATGAAAGTGTAAGAGCGAAAGAGAGAGGAAGTTTTACACTTCAGAAACAAGCTCTAAGAACTACTTATTAACCACATGATAGCAGACCATGAAGAAAATTTGATCATTCACCCATTAGACACAAAGAAACAAGAGTAACACAATCACAAACTAAATTAAACGGTTAAATACCTCGCTCCGGGCTTCAAAGATATTAGAAGAAGCACCAAAGGGTGGTGCGAAGCGTGCTGGTCAGCCGGTGAGGGAGAAATTAGGAGTAGGAGTAGAAAATTTTGGGTGTTTGGTTGCCGAGAAAGAGGAGGACAAGTGAAAGGAAAAACGTCTACATGGTTCGTCAAAAACAAAACTTAAAATTAATAAAAATTTATGGAGAAGGTTACATTGATAAAAAAAAATTCTTATTAACTTACAAACTACGTTAAGTTTGAGTAGTCATATACTCTTGATTAAAGTTTGACTATTCAAATTTAATGTAGTTTGTAAAAAAAAAAAAAGTTTCTCAAGATAACCCCTGCCTATATATTCTGGGAAAAATATTTCTGCAGTTACCGTAGATAAGTTATCTGCATTTATTCCCAAAACGACGTCATATTAGTATTGAAATCTTAAAAAATTATAAATACAAAAACGACATTATATATTATATAGGGATGAGTTATTCTACTTATATTTTTTCTCTGACTACCTTTGTCTACCACTCTACAGCACCGTTAGATCAGGATCTCAACTAATTTTTATTTTTCTCTTTCTTGTTAAGATTCTGATCTAACGGTGTTTTAGAGTGGTAGACAGAGGTAGGCAGAAAAAAAAGTAGGTAGAATATCATATCTCATATATATATATATATATATATATATATATATATATATATATATATATATATATATATATATATATATATATATAGGTTATTCTACCTACCATTTTTTTTTTGCCTACCTCTGCCTACCACCCTCCAACACCGTTAGATCAGAATCTTGAGAAGAGAGAGAGATAAATGTTAGTTAAGATTATGATCTAACGGTGTCGGAGGGTGGTAGGCAGAGGTAGGTAAAATAACCTATCCCTATATATATGAGTGAGATCATTTTACAACAGTATAAGTTACACTCTCAATCTTGACCATTGATCCCAATTATATCTAAGGGCTCTAATTTTTTAGTAATGTGAGCCATTGGATACAAGTAGATTAATGATCAATATTGAGTGTAAGACTTCTAACTCTTACAACAGTATAAGAATATCTTGTCCCTATATATATATATATATATATATGGCTTTAATGTTTCTACAGTGAATGTAGATAAGTTATCTACATTCGCTCACAAAACAACATCGTTTTAGGTTGAAAAATAAAAAAATTATAATAAAAAAGACAATTATAACCCTGAAATAAATTATAATTGCAAAAATACCTTGATTTTTGTCTTAAAACGACGTCGTTTTGTGATCAATGTAGATAAGTTATATACATTGACCGTAAAAAAAGTGAACTATATATATACATGGGGCAGTATCATCTTACACCAGTGTAAGAATAATAAGTCTTACACCAAATCTTAACCATTAATTTTTTGCATCTAGCGGTTAAGATTTATTAGGTCTCACTCATTAATTAATTTTTAATTCTCAATAAATCTCAATCGTTAGATGCACGGAAATCAACTTTTAAGATTTGGTGTAAGATTTATTATTATTACACCAGTGTAAGTTGATCCTATCCTATATATATATATATATATATATATATATATATATATATATATATATATGGGTTTAGCGGATGTAAAGTGATTGCACCTAAGGATTGGTGCAGTCATATAAAACTACGTCGTTTTATAATGTAAAAGTATTAAATATGAGGAATAATAATCATACAAAGGTAGAAATAAATATAAAACATTAAATATGAGGAGTTGGAAATAAATATAATATTTTTATTTTCTACAATTAATTTTAAATGCGAACTTCCTTTATCCCACCCAAAACGACGTAGTTTTTAGGTGACTGCATTAATGCTTATATACAGTCACATTACAAATCATTTTACCTATATATATATATATATATATATATATATATATATATATATATATATATATATATATATAGGAGTTTATACTCCTCCTTCTTCTCATATTATAGATAGGCGGAGCCCACTTCAATTTTTGTTCTCTCACTTCTTCCCCTCTCTCTCTTCTAATTATCGTGTCAGCTGCAAAATAACAACTTCTCCGCCAACAGGAGAAATTGTTATCTCGTATATATATATATATATATATATATATATATATATATATATATATAAGTATTTTTCCAGTCACTGGAGATAAAGTTATCTACTGTGAACTCAAAACGAAGTCGTTTTGGAGTTGTAAGATTAAAATTTTTAATAATAAAGACTAATATAACCATGTAATAAATTAGAATTACAAAAACATCTTGATATCCGTCACAAAACGACGTCGTTTTGTGATCACCGGAGATAACTTATCTCCATTGATTAAAGAAACATTTTACATATATATATATATTGGGTAATATATTGGTCATGTAACAGGAAAACAAAAAGTTTTCCTCCACATACATGAATTGGGAGAGAGAAACAAATGTAATGTGAGAGAAACAAGTTTTAATGGATCCCACATCAATTCTTGTGTGTGCAGGATTTTTTTTTATTTTATTGTTACATAACCGATATATTACCTATATATATGGGTTTATTGTTTTTTCCTATCACATGAGATAAAAGTTATCTCCTGCAACCTCAAAACTACGTTGTTTCGAGGGTTAGGGGAATTCAGTAATTTTTGAGTGTTTCAGTAATTTTCATATAATAAAGACACAGACAAAAAAGTTATTGAAACACCCTGGGTTGCAGGAGATAAAGTTATCTCCTATTGTGGGAGAAATAATAAACTTTATATATATATATGAGGTAGGATCATTTGACATCGGTGTCAAATTTGAAGTTTGACACCTCATCTGAGAGCCGTCAGATCAAAAAAAATCAACGACTCTGAAAAGGTGTCAAACTTTAAATTTGACATCGGTGTCAAAGGATCCTAACTCTCTCTCTCTCTCTCTCTCTATATATATATATATATATATATATATATATATATATATATATATATATAAAGGAAAATGATTTGTTTACAATTTTTTTTTATAAATTTTTGTAAATTACACTATGTATTCTCGGGAGAACATAGTATAACTTAGTGTTCTCCCAGAATAACATAGTATAATTTGTAAACAAAAAGTTTATAAATATAATCTTTCTCGTATATAAAAGGATAATCATTTTATACTGGTATGGAACTCTCAATATTAATCGATATTACCACTTGCATCTAATAACTTAAATTTGTTAGTTATGCAATTAATAATTAATTGATGCCACCTAACAAATTAAACCATATAAACGTATACAGGGCATGATCATTCTACATACATTTTTACCTCATCTTGATTTGATTGAATGATTTTGAGGGAACGAGAATGGGATTAGGAAAGTAATGTAAATTCCCATTTTATTTTTATTTTAGTTGCTTTTTCAGTCTCTAATTGTTTAAATCAATGATTTAATTCTTGATTGTATTTTAATTGTATCCAAAAGAATGCGAGAGAGATTTCTCAAGATTAGAATACGAACAAAAGGCTTTAATGTTTCTAAAGTAAATGTAGATAAGTTATCTACATTCACTTCCAAAATGACGTCGTTTTGGGTTGAAAAATTAAAAAATTATAAAAAAATACTATTGTAACCATGAAATAAATTATAATTGCATAAATACCTTGATTTCCGTCCCAAAACGATGTAGTTTTGGGCTGACTGTAGATAAGTTATTTACATTGATTGTAGAAAAAGCGAACCCATTGACAATATGCTAAAATTTAACAGGTTTAGAAGAAAATGTGTTCGCATTTAGGAAGAAAATGAATGAATTCACCGTCCAAGAAGAAACTATGTTCGGGATTTAGTGTAATCTGTAAGAACCTGCACCGTTAATTAAGATATTTAATTAATTAATTATGCGAAATTAGGAAATGATTCCATAATTGACTCTAATAATTATTATGAGGCTTTAATAATTATAGTAAGTGAGTAATAATGATGAAAGTCGCTTTTCGGAAGAAAAATGCAGATACCGGTTCTGCTAGTCGGTATAAATGCGTACCGAAAAAGTATCCCGGAAAATTATACTAAATGCATGTTAATTACTAGAATAATATGTAGGACTTGTAAAACGAGTTTCAAGTCCAGATAATGAGAACTGGTGCTAGAAACTGGTACTGGCTTGGAAAAGTGCGTACCGGAAAAGTGCTCAGAAAATTATAAGAAAAATATGATAAATCTTAGAAAATTATGTAGTTTCAGAATCTAAAGTTTGGGATTAAAATGCTAAGCGTAGCAATTAAAGTTAACACTGTGTGTTTAAGTGGCTTGGGCTATAAATACCCTTTGTAAGGGCACAAAACCCTAGAAAACAGTTTCTCTACGTGAGTGTGTGAGGGTGGCTGATCAGCTTGGCTGACTTGTGGGGTTTCTCCTCCATTTTGGGTCCAAGACACTTCCTTTCTTGATTTTCTTCACACTTTCACTTGGGATACACTTGGTGAGGATGAGAGCTAGCCTTGGGACTCTATTGCTGGTCTTTTCTGAGTTGAGAGAGCTGCTGTGTGTGAGGTTTTGAGGCTGACTTGGGTTGGTTGTGTGTGGAAGCCTTTGTTTTGGCATTATGAGGTCCAAGAAGCTTCCTTTGTGTTGAAAGGTCCAAGCTTGTTGATCCATTTTCGTGCACCTTGTTGAGTCAGTCTTGAGGGGCTGATTGTGAGCTCCAAAGAGCAGCCTCTTCTTCTGTTTTGGCCTTTGGTATGTATACCAACCTTTAATCATGAGTTTAATGCTTAAAAATGAAAGCTTGATGCATGTTAAGGTTAAAAGACGATAACTTGTTGTTGGGTGAAGCTTAACACATCTAGAAATGCATGATTAGGTGTTTAAAATCGGTAAAAAGGGAACCTTTTAGGGATATCTTCACGAAAATGCAGAAACTGCATTCTGTCGTGAGATATCCGGATATTTGTCGAACTGATATCCGGATATTGGATATCCGGATACGTGGTTTTGGAATATCCGGATATTGGATATCCGGATATGTGAATCTGTATATCCGGATATTGCATATCCGGATATGGACAGTGAGATATCCGGATATTTTGGGATTTCGCAGAACAGCAGCTGTGTTGTGTGTACAGTAGGCTATTGGGGGTTTGTGGACCCTAGTTTGATGAAGATTGAACTTCTGTATTTAATGGATTAAGCCAGAATCATGGGATTAAGGGCTTGTGGCTTTGTTAGAAGCTTTAAGACTTGAAAACGTAATGAAAAGGCGTTGTCTTAATATTGTATGCTTGTGGTGCATGTTGTTGATGTATTGTTGGTCCATAACAGATTGTGAATCTGCTGTGTTTGGACTTTGAGCTGTGGACTCTTGGCTTTTGGAGTTAGCTTGCAAGGTAAGCTTCCGTGTCCTCGGTTTAGCCATGTTGTGGTTCCACCATGTCCCATGGGGGTATGGTTTATGCATGTTGTGTACATGCTTTTGGATATTTGATATGTTGATTGAACTTTACATGTAATGGCTTTTAATATGCATGTGTTGTTTCATCTTGACGGGAAGCCTGAGTATGTAGCGCCATACAAGATGGTGTACCGGGGTGAATGCAAGTGGTACTTGCACGGTGTGTAGGTGATAGACGTATACATGCACTGTCTCTGGCCAATAGATTAGTATTGACACACATGACATGATTATCTGCTGCATTGCATTGTTTTAGAAATGATAAATGATAAACTGTTTTTAACTTATATTGCACATGTAAGTGAGCTTGGGGTGGAAGATCCTTGAGGACTCACTGACTTACTGAGATTTCTAGATTAGAGATCTTACCCCACGTTTGGGGAATGCTTATTTCAGGATCAGGTAGTATGGGTACTGATGCCTCAGGCGGCAGGAGGCCGGAGCTTAGCTGATTATGTTGTTTCTGCTTATATGTTAGCATGACTGGTTTTGGATGCTGTTTATGTTTCCGTTATTTATGATATGTTGTTGTTGAGACTGATGTTGGGCATGTTGCCTTATTTGAGTGAGCATGGGGATTGTCCATGACACTTTCTGTTAGTACTTGTATTTGGAGTTGTATAAACTGTTAGATGGTCCGGTCTACGTTGTTGTAGTTCCGTGACTAGAGCCACACTTATATTGTCTATGTTATGAGGTATTTCAGTTAGCTGTTTTATTGAAATTACATACAGGCGATGTTTTATTAATTGATTATTAAGCAAGATTGGTAATGTTAATGGCATCATAATTGAAAAGAAAAAGTAATTCCGCATTTTAATTAAGCGCAACTTAATACGATATTAAGTGCCTGTTTGGATCCTCTTATTTTTAAGCTAGAAGCTACTTATAAGCATAAGCTAGGCCAAACAGGTTTTGGAAAAAGCTCTTATAACGAAAAGTTCTTTTTTTTATAATGAAGAAAAAGCTGAAAATTAAAAGCTCCTAGGAGGAGCTTTTTTTTAAGCTCTTATTTGTTTTTCTTGAATTGTGTGCTTTTTTTTAAATGAAGAGTGATAAAGATAGAAAAAGAGATAATTTTCTTGAAATATGTGCTTTTAAGTAATTTTTAAGCTAAATTTTTTTTGTAATTTCCAAACAGCTTTTAGCTTCTTTTTTTAAGCTCTTTATTTTAACTTTATCTTATAAGTAGCTTCTAGCTTAAAAATAAGAGGATCCAAACGGGCTCTAAGATAACATTACCGAATATATACGGGGTGTTACATGATCACTCGTTCAAGAGGAAACTGTGTTCAGCATTGGAGTTTGCAGAAGGGAACTTCAAAAGGTCATTATCGATAGGCCTCTAATTAGGTATATAACGAACCGGGAAAAGCCACATACACTGATGATGAAAGTGCTGACCGCAGAGGGTGAATCTTGAAATTCTCCTTTATCACCTTAGTTTACAACTTTATGCATCTAAATTGGAATAGCTAGGAGCACAAAAATAGCTATTAACCTTGTGCTCCTTTCATGAAACTTAACATGATTTCCTTGTTTTTCCACTTACCCTTAAAACCGATCACATGTTTAACATTGTAAGAAATAAGAACACAAACAATCAAAGTAGCTATCCCATATCCTATTCCATTTAAAAATAAAAAGGTTGATCTCATAAAAATTCTCTTAAGGCAAAAATCTGTACAATATGTCTAACCACTCCGGCAGCTTTAGAATGCAATTTGCAAGTCAGACAGGAGAAGCATCAGTACTTTCAAAATCAGTTTGTTTCTAAAAGTCAAAGCTTCAATGTGACTGGTTGCTTCAAAGATATCTAGTATAATATATCACTACTCTTTAAATTAATCTAGTGGTTTGCAGATATTTCACTAGCACTAGAATCTCCATTCAAATGCTTTTCTTCTACTAAAACTGCTGTCCCATGATCTGAACTATGACGACGCAGCATTGTTTTGCCTTTTGTACGAGCCCTGCGGCAAGGACTGAAAGCATCTTTGTGTATCTGGATGTCTTTCCTTTTCTGTCTCCTTTGCACGTGCAAGAATTCATTTGCTAAAGATTCCAACGCTCTAACAGTCAAAGGTCGGTTTCTTGTGCTCTGCCTCCTGGGATTTATCTTAGGTTGCTGTTCCATAGATGGATCATTTGCCTTTAGGGTCTGCCCATCTTCCTCCACCATTGCCATCATTTCACCATTTTCAGGCTTAGATAAGACCTGGGGTATGTTGAAGTTGATTGGAGACTGTGCTTCACATTTCTCATCTTTAACACAAGAAACGCTCATGCATTGACAATTTTCATTGAGAATGCTTTCTTGCTTACTTTCTTCCACAATTCTGTCAGCAGAAGAAGCAATTGAGCTTCCATTTTGCTGATCACTAACTGGATCACCAACATTTTCATTGGCATCTGGAAAGCTTGATGACTGAGAAAATGCCAGTTCTTCTGATCCCAAGCCTCCTGTGGATTTTTCAATGACGTGGCTTGACTCTGCCTTGGCACAAGCAGTCAATCTCCTCCGTTTAATGGGAAGAACTGCATGATTAGAATGACCTGATCTTGGTCTCCGACTGAATTGATGCTTTATGGTCCTCTTTAGTTGATTATCATCAGACACACAGGACTTCTGATTTTGCTGGCTTTCTACCATCTTGCTTGCATTAATATGTGGGTTATCATATGCTTCTTTTTGGTTGGTAGCATTACAGTCAGATATGTCCTTTTGGCTATCAGTATTACTAATATTATTTTTACCATACATCTGCATATTGGCTTCCACCACACTTGGTGAATCATCATCGGAAGAGCTACGTTTACTTTCTCCTGAAAGACCAGTCATCTTAGAAGCATCTTCCAATTCAACTTGTGGATACCTCAGTTCTCTCACCTTCAATAATTTTCCATCATAAAGCATACTGGAATCAATAACTCTGAACTTTGTCAACTTTTGATTGATGCTTTCTAACATAACCTTGTCACGGTTTACTTTCCTCGTACGGTTAGCCCCTTTATATGTTATAGCAGCAGCATCTACCTCAACTTTACCCACTGAATTACCAGGTACAGATTTCAATTCCCTTAAACCAGATGACTTCCCTCCATGCATCAAACTGGTATCAATAACCATGAATTCCATATGGGCTGTATTGTAAGTGGAAGCTCGGGGCTTAAGGTAACATTGAAGATGATAATCAGATTGATCATCCTCATATGATCCCGTTTCTGGTTCTTCATTGCAGTTACCAACTTTAGTTTCTTCTTCAAGCTCAAGAAGATTTGGTTCAGCTACCACTTTGCTCAAGACATCACTAACAGAATCAAAGTAATGATCACCTCTAACAAGTTTTCTCCTTGAAAAATTCTCAACACCGGGCATAAGAAAAACCAGATAATCTTTGGAGTTGACATAGCCTTGATTCTTTGGTTGTTCAGAGTGCCAACCTCTTGCCAGTAGGCGGGGCCAAACAGCTTCCCAGAAGAGATCTTTACTTTTGGCTTTGCTAAGTCGAAATCCACCTGTCAAAAGTTTTATTATATCACTGGGTGCAAGAGAAGACCAAGATTTGCTAGTTCGTGCTGAAAACAACCGATTGTTCTTCCCAGATCCTGCGGAAAGGCTTGTAAGGTCTTCCTTCTCCTTACCAATACCAACTGCTTCCACAAGAACACCAAGTCCAACAATAGACTTCAAAGAGGATATGTATTTTTCTAGAGAAGCTCTGCCCTCCACATATGACTTGGAAACCTGATTACGGAAATAAGCAAAGTGAGGACCGAATCACATAAATGATACAACTGGAATGATAAACAAATAAAAGTCCATTTTCCATAAAGGTTCAAATAATCATCGGTACATCACAAGGATAATAACTCAATTAGCTATTCCACATTTCCACCTCAATTACCGTTGTATCTAATGTATTTAGTGAAGCTTTCACTTTCTAACATCAAATGGACTAGGAGAAACAATCTAAGCATCATTTAAAGTTCATAAGCAGAATATATTAGGTACTTCCAAATGAAAAGATATGGAGTACATTGCTGATGGCTTCAATTCTTCTACATGGTTAATATACCCATAAAAAAATGGACAGAAATTGTTATATATATATAAGGCACATCATAAACCAGATTATCATTAAACAAAATTATTATTGTCATAAAAAAATATATGACACTTCAAGAAAGAAGTTAAAAGGAGGTTATATTTAAAATTGCAAGGGGAAAAAATCAACATTGCGAACGTACAAAGGACTGTAACAAAGAGGTGGCACGGGAGAATGAAAGAAATTTTGAAATCATAGAATGCAGTGTGACACAGGCCAAGTCAATCATCAGGCAACTGCAATATACTTGTTATATTTCATTAACTACATTGGAGATGAGATCACACAACTGAATACCTGGAGCAAAGTATCTTGAGATTCTTCTGAGACATGGGGAATTAAGCGAGACAATAGTTCATGTTGTCTACGTCCAGTAAAAAATTTCTGTCCTATCATACATTTTCTTCCTTTTATCTTCCTGCAGCTTGACCATCTACGATATTCATCACTTTTATAAAATTTCCCATAGTAAAATGACAGTATTTCCCCCATCCCTTTGTTCTCTAAGAATCTTTTTATCTGAATAAAATTCTTCCCAAAAACAAACAAACCAAGGAGAAAACTTTTTGCATCAGCATCACTCCAGGAGTTACTTGATGTGCCAGGGGCCATTTTATATTTTTTGCTTTTACCCAGTTCACCTGACTTGCTATCTCCTGACATACCATTCTTTTTTACATTAGCTGTTTTTGCAGGCTTAATTGCATTGACCGTACGATCAATGTCTCCAAGATATCCCCACCCCTCATGCCCACTATCCTCCACTTCATTATGTTTCCATGCACCTAAGATGGGTAAACCAATTGCAAAGAAAAGTGAGTTATCATGCACAACTTCTGAATCAGCAGGATTCATTAGAAGTTGAAGGCGTTCTGGTTCTTCTATCATGGAAGAAACTTCCACCTGGTATTCATGACCAATTCGAGGATTCAACTGTGCGGCTCCAACTATATTGCTTATATCAGGAGAACTTGGAGAACCACTAGATGCATGCTCCATGAAATTATCGTTATAATTCTGCTGAATTGACTCCATCTGCCAAGAATCATAGGATTAAAAACTTAATAACAATAAACTGAAATCAAAGATTAAGAAGAAATATTATAAAGGAAATGTAGATTACATAACATTATCATGGAGCATACTTCAAAAATTAGTTGCAAATAGTCATAAGAGAAATGTACAGAGTTAATCCCCAGCCATTCAGAGTTAACAACTGGCCACTGGTTTTGCAAAGCATCATACTTATTGGAAGAATTCAGATTTTATAACACCATTAGTATTCAACTACCTATAAGGAATTGATAATTTGTTTCCTAACTTCTCAACCCTTTTCATATTTTACCAATATACCAAAATATTAGATTTCTAATTGTTTTTACTCTCAATTATTTCACCACTATCAAATTCTTAAAAAAATCAACAATCCATGAACTCGGAATTAGAGTAAAAGTAACAGGAGCAATTTCTGGGTAAGGAAATCTTCATTGGCGTGTAATTCCAAAAGGATTACAAAGATAAAATTAGAACACAGCTGAAGCTACAACAATCGCTAACGTTAGCCTCAAAATGGATACCTAAATCACCCACATAAAACAGCTATTAATTTTCTTTGCCAGAAAAGCAAATTTTGTCAACTCCATCTCAAAGACAACATTCTTCAATGGCTGACACAGCTTCAAAACAATCACACCAAACAATGACCACCATATATGCAATCTTAGGAATAAAAAATAAAAACCCTTTGTGGAAAATAATATAAAGGCGAAGAATTTTAATTACCAACCGACAACAAGATATACAACCCCAGATCCACTTGTATGCAAGTTCATAATCAAAGCGCTTGCAGATGAATACATAACAAACTGACTCAGACATGTAACCGAGGAAGAGTAAAGGAAATCATTGAAAACAGAAGATAACAAGAACAGTCATTGACACGAAGATTAAGTGCACCCACATTACAAGCACATAATTGTAACAATTAATCGAAATATCAAGCACCCAAAAATATTTAAAGTATCTTTCTCCGTATCCTATATTATTATACACACATAAATAATCTGTATAATCCACAGCATCACAACGGATACACACATTGGACAAGTCAAAGGTTGATGACAGAGAAAGATGAATATTTGTTAACCTCAGAACAGATGGTAGAAACGTCAAATGCTAAAACTTGAAAGGGGAAGCATCAAGCAAAGTACACACGTAAGAAGAAAAATAAATCAATAAATAAATGAATGGGTGCTAATATTATGAGTTGATTTGTATATATACATAATACATATATATATGTGTGTGTTATCAAAGTTGAGTGAACATCAAAGACGTTAACGTAGAAGGAAGAAGGGAAAGAAAGAGAACCTGGTCGAAACACAAGGTGAATTCGCGGGGCAAGAATCACACAATGAACTACTTACATCCTCACTTTAAAAACACGCCGAGTTTCCTTCAACAATGTGACTCGCCCGAGTTCATGACACTCGAGTTGAGTTCACGACGTGAACAAAAATTGAAACTTGAACGAGGGTTTAGTATATGGATTGGCTTTTATACAATTAATCGCAGATAATTTATCTATATTGAGTCCAAAATGATATCGTTTTGAGATGAAAATTAAGGTATTTTTGTAATTATAATTTATTTCAGGATTATAATAGTCTTTTTCATTAATTTTTTAATTTTTCAATCCAAAACGACGTCATTTTGAAAACGAATGTAAATAACTTATCTATATTTACTTTAGAAACACTAAGGCCTTATTATATTTTGATTGATGACGGTTATATTTACAAATTTTTTATTTAAATTTTTTTATAAATTATATTATGTATTATACTTTTAAAAATACATAGTATAATTTATAAAAAAAAAAAAATTGTTAACAGATCTTTTTCTATTTTGATGTATTAATTAAAAAAAATGCTTCACTTAATATATACAAAATTCTATCATTTAAAATACATTAATAAATACATAGCAGAATACGATTATTTCACTTAAAATTATCTAAAGTAGTGTATTTCAAAATGATAAATATTTTTCAAAAAAATCAACTATAATAATAATTATTTGAAATCCAAAACATAAATTAAATGGTAAGATAGAAAAATTACCTGCTATGATCTTGTTATTTGTCATATATAGCAGGTAATTAAGTTATCAAAACAATGTTATATAATATCAAATGATTACCCAAGTTGGACTTAATTAAAAAAAAAAAAACTACACAAATTGGATCCTAATTTACAATCTCCCAAGTCCCAGCCATACAAATGCCCAATAGTTCATAGATATGTAGTGTGTGTAATATTGCAAACAACCATAATTTTGCACTAGAAAATGGAGGATATTATATTTTATTCAATCGCTCAATCAATTTCTGAAAGCTTAAGGACCCACTAAACGGGGTTGAGAATTGAGATTTATATTTCATCCAAACAATGAACAAATTTTGGGTGCTAGTTTGGGTAAAAAAATTGGGATTTAGAAGGAAATAAAGGTAAAGATGATGGTTTAAATGAGTTGAAAAAATTCCATTTTAGGAAAAGAGGAGTATCGAATTTGTTACTCTGTTAGCAATTAAAAAATTCCCCAAACAATAAAATTTCTAGGTAATTTGCTACAACTTGATTGTGGAAATGTTTTCTCGCAACAGAGATAGAATTCTAAGGCAAATTTTTATTTTAAAAATAATATATTTTTCTTTATTAGAAAATTGTTATGGGCCATGTAAGAGTCTCGTATTCTAGAAGGTACAAGAAATAGTAACAGAAAAAAAAAAAAAAAACTAAGGCAAATAAAGAAAAGAATTATTAATTATTGAGAATCCTATTAAGATAACTACGAACTTGGACATGGGCTCTCAGAAGAGCTACTCAATGTCCAGAATTCCATTACCCACATACAAACTTTATAAATTAAAGGTAAAATTTATAGGTATGAACATCATCTCTCTATTTATTATTATTAGTATATTACCCGTGCGATGTACGGAAAAAAAAAATCAAAATTTTTGTCGTCCGCCGTGGTTGGTTAATCGCACTGCAAACCTTATATTTACAAAAAACTGTTTCAATAAAATTTAGCACCGATGTAAGATAAGATAAAATTTCAATCATTGTCCAGTATATAACGCTCCGCGTTTCAGTTGTTTATTCGTGATTTCAATATCAGAAGAAGTTAAAAGTTTTCAAGCTTTTTCGATTTTTGTTGAAATTGAAAACAGAAATGATTTTTATTAAAATACAATTATTGTGAATCTTGGGATTGTGTTCATGAACAGAATCACAACTTTTTGCATTGGAAACGTCAAGCCTAATAAATATCATTTAATTTTTATAAAAGCCCAACATCAACATCCATAAGAATATTAAAAGACTGATTGATTACAAAAAAAAAAACTGATTAAAGAATCGAAAAAAATTTGACAATCGCCAACTTTAAGTAATAATAAAAGGAATGGTAACTTAAAATCCTCTATAAATGTCATAAATCATACCGTGAAAGAAATTTTAAAAGATTGATTAAAGAATCAGACATAACAACACACCATTAACTGTCATTTATTAATCAATCAATTTCTCACCAAAACACAATTAAAATTTAAAAGAGAAAAATATAGATTAAACAAAAAATGTTTAAAATTATAAAAATTTAAATATAGTTGATACAAAATAATTTAAATTTGGAAATTAAATGAAAAAAATAAGAAATGACATATTTATACTTCAAAAGAAAATAAATTAAAAATTTAACTTAAAAAATAATTCAAAAAAAGAAAAAAATTCGTAAGAGTACTTTTTTTAAATAAAGTAATATAAACGTTTTTAATTTATATGTATAACCAATTTAAAAATATAAAATTTTAAATTAAAAGAGAAAAAACTTACTTTAAAAAAAATATGTATAATTAATATAAAAGAATTTAAATTTTAAATTTTAATAAAAAATTAAAAATTTACATCTATGATTCTGTAAAAAATAATTTATTAAAATTTAATGACTATAAAAATGAATGACCATCCAGCTCCTGCATCGCAAAAAGATATTTGTACTTGATATTTATGGTGATTTAAACCACGCAAAATGGGGAAAAAAATAACAGTGAAGTGTAAAAATATTGAAACATAAAAAAATAATAATAATAATAATTAAAGCCAACTTGACAACACTTTAATTTGATCATAGCTGATTTGACATTTGCTTGATGAAAAAGAAGGCCACCTTAATCATGAGATAATTTCTCTACTTTTAAAATTTTCCCTCTATTAGCACATATAAATATGGGTTCGCTTTTTCTACAGTCAATGTAGATGACTTTTCTACAATGAGTTCAAACGACATCGTTTTGAGACAAAAATCAAGGTATTTTTGTAATTATAATTTATTTTAAGGTTATAATAGTCTTTTTAATTATAATTTTTTAACTCAAAACGACGTCGTTTTAGGAGCGAATGTAGATAACTTATCTACTCTCACTTTAGACACATTAAAGCCTATAAATATTTAGACTAAAAATTTATAAAATGCATGATTTACTTAAAAGCTATTTAGATTCTCATAAAATATAATGATATTAGTAATAAATCATAGATTTGTTGAAGTATACCATTTTCATCATTAGTAACTCCCACTATTTTCTCAATCGTAAATTGAAAGGCCATCTTTTAATTTTTCTACAAAATAAAAATAAAAGATAATGTAATAATTCCGTGAATATTACGATATCATTCTTTCTATGGAAAATATAATCTATTTATTATAAGCACACACACTAAACAACGCATAGAAGGAAGTATGCGTATTGTAATAATTGCATCCTTTTACAATGATCCACGCATAGCCTAGGAAATAATGTTAATGAATGAATGAAGATAGCAATGAAAAGATAACAATTAATTTGAAAATAGAAATAAGGGATTGTTGTGCAAAAGCCGAAGAGATAATTCAAAATATTTCGCTCAAAATTTGAAGAGGATACGAAAAATAAAAAAGTGATAGAGAAATTGGCTAAGACCAAATGTATACGTATATAGCCTACTTGACTTATTAATAATAATATTTATCATATTAATTAATAGAATATACATACATACATATATATATATATATATATATATATATATATATATATATATATATATATATGCACACACACACACACTAAGATAGTGTTCTTCTTGTTCATACCAAGAGAGAAAACAACAAATGTGCTCATTGGTTAGCTAAAGCTGGGCAGACTAATAATCTCCATTTCAAGATTTTTAAAGATCCTCCTCCTCAGTTGATGGAACTTATAGTTGCTGATGCTAGAAATATGTCTAGCTTGTTAGTTTCTGATTTGTAATTTCTTTCTGTTTCTGGGGCTTAGCCCCTCTTTATTTACAAAAAAAAAAAAAAAAAAAGATAGTGTTCTTCCCAAAAGTTATTAGGAGATAGCCGCTATCAAATGAAATAAAAGGGGAAATGCGCATTTACTCTCCATTTTGATTTTCTTCTCATTCCTTGAAAGTTGAAATCATAGAGGAACAAGATTTTTAATGCTAATTCTTCTGTGTATTTCCTCACTCTTTTGAAATTCGAATTTAGAATTGATTTCAAATTTTAGATTTCAATTTTAAATTGTAATGGTGGGAAAGGATTTAGAAATAAAAAATTAAATAAATAATAATTTCTTTTAAAAATCGAAATAAAAAATCAATGAAAAATTAAGTTAATCATTTATGGTGGCAGACAACTCATTCAATGTCCCACTGATTTGTACATTGGAATTACATTAAATACTTTCTACATTGAAATTGCTCACTCTTTTAAATTCGAATTCTGAATTGATTTCAAATTTTGGATTTCAACTCTTCTAAATTTTGAAT